CCCCTGTATGCTCCACCACATTCATAGGTGTATTTGCAACAAAGGTATAAATACCCATGTACAAATATCCTCTGTCACACCTGTGTGTTTGTGTGGCTATATTCCCACTCTCCCTCCCTTACTCTTTCAGCCTTTGTATCTGTTCATGTATCTCCCTGTAGCACACTGTTGTTGCAGGGGTTTTTTATATAACAGTATTTTACCTCAATCTTCTTTAACCTTTGCATTCGTCTCTGTCTTCACCTGTCTTCATTATTGTTCTGCCAACCTATTTCTTACCATGTATTGCCTTCACTGTCACACAAGTTAACATGTGTCTACCCTCTAGCCAGTGAATTACTCTCCCTTCCCTCCCACCCCTGGTAACCATCAAAGAATGTTTCTTTGAGCGTAAAAATCTTGAGTTTTTACAGTAGAGGTCTCATATAATATTTGCCCTTTTGTGAGTGACTAATTTTGTTCAGAATAATGTCCTCTGAGTTCATGCATGTTATGAGGTGTTTTGCAGACTCACCATTATTGTTCACCATTGCATCCTAGTTCATTGTGTGTATGTACCAGAGTTTGTTCATCCATTCTTACATTGATTTATATAGATCTGCTCATGTCATGGCTCTTACTTCTTGTGGGTATATACCAAGTAGAGGGATTGCTGGGTCATATGGTATTGGTATTTCCAATTTTTTTTCTCTCAGCTTCTTTAAAGAAAAGCTTTGAGGTAAGGTTTTAGTTCATTCAGCCCATACTCGGCAATATAAACAGCCATACTGTTATTGGAACGTTAGTGGCTTGAAGTAAATGAGAGTTGGTTAAGAATCACATTACTAAGGTCTATTACTAGGTCATAGGAGTCCTGGTGGCACTGTGGCTAAGCGCGTGACTGCTAACTAAAAGAAAGGTCAGTGATTTGAACTCACCAGCCCATTCCATGAGAGAAAGATGTGACAGTCTGCTTCCGTACAGATTTACTGCCTTGAAAACCCTATAGACAGTTCTAGTCTGGCCTATAGGTTTGCTGTGAGTCAGATTCAGCTTAACTATAGATAAAGTTTCATAGCTATTAGAAAGAACAATGAAAGTATTAAGAATTTTTTAAGGATTCATGTTGTACTGATTATGATATTTAGATTTGGGGAAATAAAGTATCTGATATATTTTCTTAAAATATCTGTGAAGTTTTTTTGTTTTTTTTCTTTTTACTTTGCAGTTTATGGTAGAGAAGTTATTTGGTTGTTTATTTTCAGTGTTCTTTCTCATTTCTTTCATATTTTTGTCTTTATAGGAAGAAATGGACACCAGGCCAAAGGTGTCTTCTCTGCTGAACCGCATGGCCAATTACACAAATCTGACACAAGGAGCAAAGGAACATGAAGAGGCAGAGAACATTACTGAAGGGAAGAAGAAGCCTGCTAAGGTGATCCCTCAGGATGACGAGTATAAATGAGGAGTCCTGTATTATTCATTGTTCATTCAGTGTTCAGTGCCTGTTAATTGATTGCATGATATAGGCCAGGTACTGTTTCAGGCACGGGGGTCATAGCATAAATAGAACATACAAAGACCTGGCTGTCATACAGTCTAAATTTTAGTGTCAGAAGACAGCCCTTAAGCAAAATATACAACATGTTAAAAGTTGGTTAATGCCCTGGTTGTGGCACTTTAGGATAAGCAAGTTTGGTAGCTCAAACCCAGCAGCCACTCTCAGAAACCTTATACAGGGGCGCTATGAGTTGGAACCGACTCTATAGCACACAACAGCAACAACAACAACAAAACAATGCTTAGTCAAAAGAAATCAGGGTAAAAAATTCAGATTGACCAGCAAGGGATTAGGAGGTAGAAGGACTTCCTGTTGTAGACAGATACATCAGGGACAGCCATTTTGACAAGATGCTATTTGAGCAAAAAACTAAATAATGGGAGGGAGGGAGCCATGTATTAACTGGGAAAAGAGCATTCCAGGGAGAGAGAATAGCACCTCAAGAGTCCATGTTTATCTGCCTTACTAGTAGATACTATCTGTCACCAAAGTTTTGTTTGTTTTCATATGCATATGAGGTGATTTAAAATACTTTGGCTTGGGTCAGTCCGGTCAGTGACACCTTAGTCCTCAAACTGACATCTTTACTTTTTAAGACTTTAAAGAGGTCTTTTGCAGCAATTTGTCTAATGCAGTATATCATTTGTTTTGACTGCTGCTGCCTTGAGTGTTGATTGTGGATCTAGGTAACATGAAATCTTTGAAAATTTCAATCTTTTCTCATGTTGTTATTGTTGTTAAGTGCCGTGGAGTCTGTGTCTTGATATTACTTATTGGTCCAGTTGTGAGGATTTTCACTTTCTTCACATTGAGGTGCAATCCATACTGATGGCTATAATCTTTGGTCTTCATCAGTAAGTACTGCAAGTCCTCTTTGCTTCTATCATCAAGGCTCTATTTTTCAACTGCTCATCCTTCCTCTTTGTTTCCAACCTTGGCATTTGATTCATCCGTAATTATCAGTACATCTTGAATGCATGCTTGATCAATTTTAAACTGAAAAAGTTGGTGGTGGTGGTGGTGGTGGTGGTGGTTGTTAAGTGCTGTTGAGTCAGTTCCAATCCATAGTGATCCTATATAGGATTTTTGAGGAGCAGCTGGTGAGCTTGAACTGCTGACCTTGCAGTTTAAATAGCTTTGCATTCTGGTGCATTAATGAACAGCGCCACACCAGGACTCTGAAAAAGTTGGTAGAATTCTTCAATTTCTTCTTCATAGGCTCTAGTTGTTGGTGCATAAATTTGACTAATGTGGTATTAATTAGTCTGTCTTGTAGGCATGTGGATAGTATCCTATTACAGACAGAATTCTACTTCAGTATAGATCTTCAGGAGTACTGGTGTGGCACTGTAGAATAAGCATTCAACGACAAGGTCAGTTTGAACTGCAAGGTCGGTGGTTCAACAACTGCTGCTCAGAAGCCCTGTATAGGGTCACTATGAGTCAAAACCAACTCCACAGCACACAAAAATAACAACAACCTGAGTTGTAACCAACTCAAAGGCACATAACAACAAAAACAATACAGATCTTGAAATGCTCTTTTTGAGGATAAATGTGGTGCTATTCCTTTTCAATATGTCATTCCCGGCTTAGTAAACCATATGATTATTGGACTAAAAATGGCCAGTAATAGTCTATTTCAGCTCAGTAATACCTAGGATACTGATATATGTGTGTGTGTGTGTTCCATTTCATTTTTGACAACTTTCAATTTTCTTAAATTCATACTTTGTACATTCCACATTCCAGTTATTAATGGATTTTTGTCACTATTTTTTCTCATTTTGAGTTGTACCCTACCCACAAAGAAAGGTCCCCTAAAGCTTTACTCCATCCATATCATGAAGGTCAACTCTACTCTGAGGATACAGTTCTTCCCGACTCCTATTTTGAATGTCTTTCAACTTTAAAGACTTACCTCTGGTACTGTATCAGACAGTGTCCATTTTAATGGCTAACCGTTCAGAAGTAGTCTGCCTGTCCTTCTTCCCCGTTTGCCCTAGTCTGAAACCTGTCCGCTATGGGTGACCTTGCTGGTATTCAAAATATTGGTGGCATAGATTCCAGCATCTCAGCAACATCTGGGCCACCACAGGATGACAAACTGACAGACTGGTGGTGGATTAAGTCATCAGTCTATTTTTAAATGAATTATTTTCTTAAAAGAAAGCCAACAGTTTTGAAGAACAGAGCATTTTAAATTATCCCAGCTCCACTTGTGGCTAAATGCCCATGTTTAAAAATGTATGCTGTCCTACATAAGGTAAAAACTTAATGCTCTAAGAATAATAAAAGGTATGGTGATAATGTATAAGATGTTGATTTTATTTCTGGTTCTTTTAAGATACTGCTTAAACTTTCTCTTTGCTTTTGAAATTAATACAAAATTAGAGAGTACATTTGTATAAAGATAAAAGAGATAAAAGCATCTCTTCTAAATGACTAATTTTTCTTCTCTTGTTAACATCTTTCTTTCCAGACCCCCCAAATGGGTACCTTCATGGGTGTCTACCTTCCATGTCTACAGAATATTTTTGGAGTGATCCTGTTTCTGCGCCTTACATGGGTGGTGGGCACAGCTGGAGTTCTTCAAGCCTTTGCCATTGTTTTTATCTGCTGCTGCTGTGTAAGTGCTGCAATGGCTCCTGGAGCTCGTCAAGAGTACATGGAACTTGAAGTCTAGGAACTCAAACAAGAATATGAGGAAAAGGGTTAGGATCTCAGCAAGACAGATTATTCTGATACAAAATCTGAAAAGTTTTCATTTATTTTGTGTCTTAACATTCACTGCTTGCTACACATGATGTTCTAGAAACTGTAAAGGAAGACTTCTAAGAAAGTAAAAATTACAGTTTATTTTTTCAAAGAATTTAGAATTGAAGTCATTTGAGCTTTGATAGCACCAAAGTTATAACAACAAATGAAATAAACAGTATGATACGCTACTCCAGTATATATAGTATTGAGCAACAAAACTCGGAGTGTCTTAGAGTTGAGGGGTATTTTGTTTTGAAGTGCCTTTTGTTACCCCTTTCTCTAGAAATGCCATTGTTCTTTCCAGGTCTTCTCTCCACTATACTTTAAATTCCTTCTATCCAGACATTCTAGCCACATTAATTACTAGTATTATTATGTAGTTCTAGTCTCTAATGACTTCTTTGATTATGATCACCATTATACCATCTCTGTGCATTGTGCTCAGTTCAGTACTATACAAAGCAGATTTAGCAGACATTGTTGATGTTGTTAAGTGCCATGGAACCGGTTCTGACTCATAGCAACCCTGTATAGGGTTTTCGAGGAGCGGCTGAGGAGTTTGAACCTCCAACCTTGCAATTCAAATTGACCTTCACATCCAGCGCATTATCCTGCAGCACCACACAAGGTTTTTTTGTGTGTGTTTTTTTTTTTTAAGTTTCTCAGACTTGAAACCTCAAGGCCATCAATGGCTCCTCTCTTGCTTTCCATATCTAATCAACCACGAAGGTCAATCAGGTCTCCCTCCAAAATCCCTTAAATTCAACTTTTCCTACTTATTCTCAGGACCACTGTTGTAATTCTTACATTTCACTGAAATATTGCGGTAGCCTACTAACTGCTAACTCTGCCTCCAGTTACTCCCTATCTGTACTCCTTCCTGTACTCTGCTTGCTATCAGATATGGTTTTAAAAATACAGTTCTTGGGTATTAAGCCTTCATTCATTTCCCTTCTTACTATATACTATTCTTAATATTGTAGCTGTTTTTTTTGTTTTTTTTTAGTAAGGTTACAATCTGTTTTCCAACTTGTTTGTTTAGTTATTCTCTTTGAGCATGTTATTCTGCTTAACTAGGAGATCCAGAATGAAATTGGTAGTTCTTACAGCACATAGCCTACTGATTCTGATATAGGAACATTTGAACAAAATATACTAGATGACTGTAGTGTGGGTAGTGTGGTGAGTTGTATCACAGCATCTTGTTTCCAGACTATTAGGTAGACACAGTGCCTCTATACAAGTTGTTGTTGTGGTTAGGTGCTGTCTAGTCAGTTCAAACAGAACGAAACACTGCTTGGTCCTGTGCCAACCTTTCAATCATTGCTACGCTTGAGCCCATTACTGCTGCCACTTTGCCAATCCATCTTGTTGGAGGTCTCCCCATTTTTCTTTGACCCTTCACTTTACCAAGCATGATATTCTTCTCTAGGGACTGGTCCCTCCTGATAATATGTCCAAAATATGAGAGACGAAGTCTAGCCATCATTGCTTCTTCTAAGGAGCTTTCTGGTTGTACTTCCAACACAAATTTGTTTGTTCTTATAGAAGTCCCTGGTTCTTTTCCTGTTGTCCTCCAGTAACATGACAAGTGGATCAATTCTTCAACAGTTTTCCTTATTCATTGTCCAACTTTCACATGCATTTGAGGCTATGTTGTTGTTGTTGTTGTTGAGTACTGTCGAGTCAATCCTGACCTATAGTGACCCTATGTAGGGTTTCCAAGGAGCAGCTGGTGAGCTTGAACCACCAACCTTGAAGTTCAGATGACTTTAGAGTCTGATGCATCAGCCCACAGCACCATACCAGGACTCCTTTGAGGCTGTGTTGTTGTTGTTAAGTGCCGTCGAGTCGATTCTGACCCATAGCGACTCTGTACAGGGTATCCACCCTGTATAGGGTTTCCAAGGAGCAGCTGGTGAGCCTGAACCACTGATCTTGCAGTTCACAAACGACTTTGCAGTCTGATACATTAGCCCATAGGGAGAGTTAAATATTTGAGTAAGTGTTCTGAGGTACCCAGATAGGAAAGTAATATAAAAATGGCATCGTTATAAAATAACCACCTTCTCCTCTTTTTCCCTCTACAGACCATATTGACTGCTATCTCCATGAGTGCCATTGCTACTAATGGAGTGGTACCAGGTCAGTAGGCTGAGGATGGGTGTCCAGAATCGTCCGTGATTATTGTATGTTTATGTTCGAAATGTTGAGCTGCAAATTCCCAAAGTCTAAAGTACTGTTTAATCTATTCTCCTGTGCTACTACTGAGTAATGGTCTGTACACCATATTCACTAATAACTATTTGACTTAAGGGTTACCGCTGTAAAATCTTTGCTTTTCTAAGCCTTTTGTTGTTGTTGTTAGTGCCATCAAGTAGGTTCTGACTCAGAGACCATATAGAGGGTTTCCAAGGAGTGGCTGGTAGGATTGAACCACCGACCTTGCGGTTAGCAGTCCAATGCTTATCTACAGCACCACACCAGAACTCCATTTTCTAAGATAGAATGGTTTAATTTCAAGTCACATTCTTAGTTTTTTTGTTTTTTATTGGTATGTGTTTCATTGGGTTCTCATGCCTGTGATAAATTTTCTGATATTTTTCTAAGTAGTACTGGCACTCTGTGAAGTACTAGCCTTGCGGTGTATGCTATTTAGAAAGGCTGCTTCTTTACCTCCTCTCAGCAAACCTGCTTTTTAAAAAATCGCATTAAATATTTTCAGAAACCTGTAGCACACTTATCCAGCATGCATATTTATGCATATTTATGACTTGTTATGTTCCTCTTACTAATGTGTCTTTTTCTCCTAGTTCTTTGTCTTTTTTTTTTTGTTTTATAGCTGGGGGCTCATATTTTATGATTTCCCGGGCACTGGGCCCAGAGTTCGGTGGGGCTGTTGGTCTCTGCTTTTATCTTGGTACCACATTTGCAGCAGCCATGTATATCCTTGGTGCCATTGAAATTTTTCTGGTGAGTAGTCACTCAGTTGTGGAAGAGATAGATTTGCCTTTAATTGCTGTTCTTTGTTGTGAAGGCTTCTGAGATCAGCTCTAGCAATCAACTTGGGTGAGTATGCTAAACTCTTACCAATCTACTATGGTCAGTATTGCGGCACAATATTTTTTACTGGCGGGTATAGTTTGCTTCCTACCCTTTTCCCCTTTACTCAGTCTTCACCACACTAACACTGCAACCAAGAAGTTAAACACTCAGACGGAAGACTTGTGTAATGGCAAAAGAGTAGAGTGTTTTCTTTTCTATTCTTTTTCCAATAAAATGGGATATATTTTTGTGTATTTATTCACTGCAATGTTTGATTGTTTTTAAATGTCAAGTAATGATAGTAGAAGAAACAGCTCAGGATAATCATTACAATTTTTTATACAACCCTTGGAATAGAATTATTAATATAGTCCTCTTTCTTTTTCTATTTGGAAATGTTAGTATCCATAACAACATAGAGACAAAAGGAAAAAAAAATCCTTTATCACATTTCTGAAGACTATTCCACATCTTCCAAAATAGGAAATGGATTGGAAGGTCTATGGTCATTTCTGTTTCAACTTTGCTTTCCTTTGTGAAAATGTATGAAAACTACAATGCCCTGTTACTTGATGACATTGAAATGACCTCTTTTCTGTGTCTCTCACCTAACAGGTGTATATTGTTCCCCGGGCTGCCATCTTTCGCAGTGATGATGCACTCAAGGAAGCAGCAGCCATGCTAAATAACATGCGTGTCTATGGCACAGCCTTCTTGGTTGTTATGGTACTGGTGGTGTTCATCGGCGTACGCTATGTGAACAAGTTTGCCTCACTTTTCCTGGCCTGTGTCATTGTATCCATCTTGGCCATCTATGCTGGAGCCATCAAGTCATCTTTTGCCCCTCCACATTTCCCGTACGTTTGATAACCATCATTATTGTATAATAATTGACAGTATTTGGTGTGATAATGTCAAGTCAGAATTTTAGTCTTTGAGATTTCCCTCTTGGATAAGCCTTCTTAAGCATCTAACAGGAAGCCTACTAGCAAAACTATATCATATCCTTCCTTTTCCTTATGTCCCAAGCCCAGAGCTGCATCTTTAACCATCTGTTGGATATTCACCTAGTCCTCACTTATTGACTGTCTCATTTATGACAGAGTAAAAAGTCTGTCCAATTATTTTGCACATTAACGATGTACTTCTGGCTGTAACGAAGATTAAGGTATTAGGCTGTGATGATTAAGGTTATGCTTCAACTCGGCTGGGCTATGATTCTCAGTGATTTGGCAGTTAGATAATGATGTAATTTGGCAGTTACGTACTAATGTAGTTATCTTTCCATTTTATAATGATAGTACTGATTTCCATGTAAGAGACTGGTCTTTGGAACCTAGCCATGTCAATAAGTAAGGAGTTGGTAGAAAATAGTTCATTTGATTATTTGGGGGAGGAGGTTTCCCCCATTTGATAAAGATTATTTCTACTTGAAATATTAATGAAGGACCTAACAAATAGCATAATTATTACCAACAACCTTTATGAAGTAGATAAATGTTTGATTCCTTCTTTTATATATAAAATTTATTTATATTTT